GGCACTAGACGCGTTCCTGCAGCCGACCACGCGCCTACCCGCTGTTAGCAATCCGAGATTCGATCCACGACTCCGCTCTTGCTCTTCTCGGGTCACAGCACATTTGGACGACATAAATCGCTATGCTTATTGGATTGTGCGGAGGCAAGCACCGTCAGAAATAACATGAGACGAGGCTGACAGGGCACAGGAATATGCGCGGGCAAGTCGTCGATAGCTTCGTACCTCGTCGAGGAGCACCACTTCATCCGCCTACGCCTCGCCCGAACTGCTGAGACGCCTCCAGAGGAGAAGTCAGCTTCCAACACACGTGTTCCTTCGCCGGTCAAGTCGTCTGTGGAGTCGAAGCATACCTTCCCGAACATCGAGTCGCTACTCGACTTTGTCACGTTGAGATGGAGAGAACGATTTGTTACAACGGACATATGGGACGAAACGGTGGTTGATGCCCTGCTCAGGCGTCCGTTCTTCCTCCTCGTCAGTGTAGACGCGCCTGTCAGTGTGCGATGGCAGCGCTTCAAGGCCCGATGTGCTGCCACCGACCACACACCGCCTACTCTCGAGGAGTTCGTTCTACGCAATGACAAGCACCTGTTTGCTCCCAGAACAGGCCTAAGCGCTCTCTGCCAAAGAGCACAGCTGAAGCTACTCAACTCGTCGTCCGACATGGCTTCCCTGCGCAGTGCCATACTGTTCCTGGACCTCATGGACGAGGCCCGTGTACGCCCAAGCTGGGATCAATACTTTATGCAGTTGGCAGACCTGGCAGCGCGCAGGAGCAACTGCATGAAGCGACGAGTCGGTTGCTGCATAGTACGGGAGAAGCGTGTGATTAGCACTGGGTACAACGGTACCCCACGTGGCATGACCAACTGCAACGAGGGCGGATGTGCGTTCACACTCGGGAATCCACACGACATAGACTAACAACATACAGGCCCGCGCTGCAACAACGCTGCACAGGGAGGTGTTGGCCTTTCCACCTGCCTCTGCCTGCACGCCGAAGAAAACGCCCTCCTCGAAGCCGGTCGCGACCGCATCGGCGAGAACGCCATCCTATACTGCAACACATGTCCCTGCCTGACATGCAGCGTCAAGATAACACAAGTTGGTATCAGCGAGGTGGTCTATAACCAAGGCTACCTCGTCGACGACCAGACGGCCAAGATCTTTACTGAAAGCGGCGTCAAGCTGCGCCAGTTCTCGCCGCCTGCAGACGGACTGGTAGATCTGAGCATCGGCGTGGGCGCAGACAAGCAGGAAGAGGACAAGGCAGAGGATGCAAGAGAGCTACTCGATGATATCAACTTCCTGCGACCTGTGGAAAATTAGAACAAGCTATCAAGATAGACAAGCCAGATATAAACTACGCTATCCGACACGCATGTCGTCTGACGGGCAAGGCTGTTGGCGGCGCGTGGTGGCGCATGGCGTTGCTCAAGGCCAACGCCTCACGAGGTGCGACCGCATGCAAACGCCACTACATGTCTTGGGCAACGCCATAATGTCCTTTCCGTTCCAACTTCAACCAGCTAGAGTTGGGTTTGGGGTATCGACGATGAGGGATTGCTGCAACAAGGGTTGGCCATAGCACAACCTTGCCGGGCAACACCGCCACGACCGCACACGCGACCGTCAGCAATGGTTCGGTTCGCCCGCGTGGCCCTTCTCATAGTAGCAGCCTCAAAGACGCGCAATGCTTCGACTTCGCAGTCGGCCCATGACGTTTGACCTTAAGTTCCGTAACTCGTGTTGCTTACCTCTCATTTCCCCGCCTCGACCAAGTACCTTGAAGTTTAACAAGCTTCGGCCCGCCTGGTCGGGTTGAACTTGGGCCTGATGACGCGCCCACGCGGCGCGGTACCGACACCGTCACTATCACAGTCACCGCCCTGCGATAGCTACATACTTATCTCGTAATTTGCTTTACCAAGACACACAAACAAAATACCGCTTGTTGTCGTCCATGTACCTACGGTAGCCGTGCTATCGTCCGTTGATCCACAAGCTTGACCAAGCCTCGACAAGCATCCGCTTCCGAGGCTTACACTCTGAGCTGGTCTGGGCACATTGGATGCACTAAACAGAGCCGCGACGAATCAACGCCAAACATGATGCAAAAGTCTCGGTCTAATCTTCGTATAGTCCTGCTTCAGGAAGGTGCCTAAGGTTGTGCTTCTGTTTGCACTGCGTCATCTCGCGTCTCTCGCCCTTCGGCTACGAATCTCAACGCGATAGCATGCCCTGCACGACCCAGAAAGTGGCGTTTGCGAGGTTTATTACCGAGCCTTGCTGGTGCCTCCGCCAACCTCCTGCTCTTCCGGGTAAGCGCAAGGGTCTGTATACCGCAATGCCGTCACGTAGTAAACGTTCAAATACTCGCCTTGGGCCCGGTTCTTCCGTGCCAGCTCACAGCCGCTTTCATCAGTCAATTTCAAGATGAAGCTCCTTTCCGTGGTTGGTTCTTTGCTGTGTGCTTCTACAGCGCTTGCTGGAAGCTCGCCACACAAGCGTGGCGTGTTTGAGAAGGTTAGGCCTGCCGTCGAGAGGCGCATGCCAGGAGAGGCTTTCAAGCATCCCGAGATCCAGAGGCGTGCCGAGAGCTTCTTCTTGACCAACAAGACTGAGTGTCAGTATTCATTGTCATACTGCGCTACATCAAACTAATAAGCCCATAGCCTTTGCGGTCAACGGTACTGGTATCCCAGAAGTTCCTTTCGACATTGGCGAGAGCTACGCTGGTCTGCTGCCAATCTCGGATGACCCGGAGGAGACGCGAAAGCTTTTCTTCTGGTTCTTCCCTTCGACCCAGGCTCAGACCCCCGAGGAGGTTGTCATCTGGCTCAACGGTGGCCCTGGATGCTCTTCGCTCAGCGGATTCCTCACGGAGAACGGCCCGTTCACCTGGGAATCTGGCACTCTCGCCCCGGTCCAGAACCCCTACTCATGGACCAACCTCACCAACATGCTCTGGGTTGAGCAGCCCGTAGGTGTTGGCTACTCGCAAGGTACCCCCAACATCACCGACGAGGTTGAGCTTGGCAACCAGTTCCGTGGTTTCTACAAGAGCTTCATTGACCTCTTCGGACTCTACAACTGGAAGACATACATCACCGGAGAGTCTTACGCTGGTTACTACGTCCCCTACATTGCCGACAGCTTCATCACTGCCGATGATGACAAGTACTTCAACCTTGCCGGTATCTCCATCAACGACCCCATCATTGGTGACGAGACCATCCAGCAGCAGGTTGTCCTCCTCCCATTCGTCAACTTCTGGCAGAATCTGCTCTTCTTGAACGACACGTTCATGGAGCAGATCACCCAGCATCACAAGGAGTGCGGTTACACCGACTACATGGACAAGTACTTCACTTTCCCCCCACCACAGGGCGCTTTCCCCGTTCTCCCCGACCCATACAGCTCGGAGAACTACACCTGCGACCAGTTCGACAACTTCTACTCCGCCATCCTCGAGGTGAACCCCTGCTTCAACATCTACCACATCACCGAGACATGCCCGCACCCATACTCCCAGCTCGGCATAGTCAACACCGGCGACTACTCGCCGCCAGGCGCCGAGATCTACTTCAACCGCACCGACGTCAAGATGGCACTCCACGCCAACGTCAGCACCGAGTGGCTCCAGTGCACCAACACCAACGTCTTCGGCAACGGCGACGACGAAGGTTCCGACCAATCCCCCGGCCCCGCCAACAACGGCGTCCTCCAGCGCGTCATTGAGTACACAAACAACACCATCATCGGCTCCGGCGACCTCGACATGCTCCTCAGCACCAACGGCACCCTCTTCGCCATCCAAAACATGACCTGGAACGGCGCCCAGGGTCTTTCCGAGTACCCCACCACCCCTCTGTACGCCCCCTACCACCCAGAGTACAACGGCGGTGCGCTTGCCGGCGCCGGCTACCAGGGCTACTGGACCGCCGAGCGCGGCATGATGTTCTACACTGCCCGTCTTGCTGGCCACGAGCTGCCCGGCTACACTCCTGGTGTCGCATACCGCATGTTGGAGATTCTCCTTGGACACATCAAGGACTTCAGCAGCACCGAGAACTTTGTTACTCAGACTGGTAACTTCACTGGTACTGGTACTATCTACAGACGCGGTCTGGGTATGGGTAGTATGGAGTTTTAGATAGGTGAGAGGAGAACCTCATGAGATGAGGGATGTATAGAAATCAAATCTAAATGTTGTCTCAATGCTTCGTTTGCATGCCTATTGCTGCGTGTGATTCTTGTGATGTGGTGAGATGGTATGGGAACATGTTTGTGATTGCTCAGTAGGTGATGTGGATATGCGCGTGCCATGCTGTGTTTCTTTCATGCGCATAGGCATGCAGCAGCAACATGTGAACGCCACGCCTCACCCCATCCAACCCATCAACCAACATCCCTCAGCCGCAACAATCAGCAACGATCCCATCACAGCAACCCAGAAGAAAAAGTGCGCATAGACATCCACCCTTTACAAACGTTTCAAAACACTCCAGTCAAAAATACTCACCCATCATCAACCTCCTACACGGCGCATAAACCGCATCCCAGCCACACATCCTTCTGATCGATATGCCGTAGCCACGATCCTAGCGTGCATGAACGTCAGTCGCGTCTGAGACAGCGCCGGGCTAGGATGCCGTCAAACAACGCGCCAGTTAGATCCCGGCTGTCGGTGTTTCGCATCGCAACCACCTCCACATTGAGCGAGTAGACAAGACGTCAGGTAGCCATTTGGGACTGTGGGAGGAGATTAATTCAGGGTATTGGGATGGGGGATTGGAGGATGTGGTGATGGAGAGGGGTATTGGAGGACAAGTGGGTTGCGGGGGCTGTGCTTGTAGGGTTGCGATGGGGCGTGGTGGGTTGGGGGTATGTAAAGAGTGAGATGGCAGTAATATTTGGGCAAGACACTGCTCTTCAGTCATTCATTCATTCTTTTTACCGGTAGTGATCGGCTCACAGTCTTTTCCTCATACAACATGCCTTCTTTCGCTTTTTGGAAGAGCAACAAGCCGGATCCGTCAAAGGCACCGCTGCTTACCGAAGATGCAGCAGCTCAAGACTCTAGTATGGTTATTCCTCTGGTAGCCAAGGACCTGGATCTGAATCCCGATGGCGAGGATTCGGGTGTTTTCCTCTTCGACGACGATGCACTGACGCTGGAGCCTGAGCAAGTGTTGGAAGCTATACCTCTCATCGCAACCCCACCTGTTGAAGAACGGGAACCTCTGATGAGAGAAACTGAGCGAGATACTCAGGTACCAGTCAAGAACTACTCGAAGAAGCTGATCTTGGACGACAACGAAGAGGCACCAGCACCGCCACCAAAATCGTCGCCATTGAGCCAGCCTCAAGGCATTGCTGCGACAGATGGACTCCTGCCTGCTGCAGAAGAAGAGTCAGCAGCAGTCCAACCTGTCCAGGCCGTTCCGCAGCAAGAAAGGCCCGCGCCTTCCCCTTCTGCGCACGACCAAGACAGCGCACTCAAACGGCCAGTATCTATCGCAACTACCAGTGGTACGCAATCCCGCGACCGAGACTCTGGTGTGTATGTCTCGGACGACGATAGTTTACCACCGCAGTCCCGACCCACGTCCCTCGCTCTGAACGACACCCATCATCAATCAAGGGGCTCAACCATCTCCTTGAAGCACACAGCATCAACACCGACCACTTCACCCCGCCAACGCACAGACTCAATCGCACGCCTGAAACGGCCTGCAGAACTGAACTTAGGAACTAACCCAGTATCCGATTCCTCCAAGCCACGCTCCGAGCTCGAGAAGCGATACGACCTGATTCGCAACTCGAAGACGCAGTCAAAAGCTGCTCTGCGATCGCCCACAGCGCTCCTACAGGAACGACTGAGCATGTCGGCGAAGAAGGAGAAGGTCGAAGAAGAGAAGACGCGTGTGTTCACACCACCACCTCAGACGACGAACGGGTGCTGGCTGCCAGGTCCAGGCGCGCAGGTGGGCGCTTTCACCAGCACATCCGTTCGTGCGCGAACCGAAGCTGGCAATCGACCCGCGTGGTGGTGCAAAGTCGACAAACTCGTTGTCTTTGACGGCATCGATATCGGTAGCGATGGGGATATGAAAATCCACACTCGTAGTAGCAAGGGTCTTAGCATTGCGCGACGACGTGGCGATATGGAGACGATTGTCATTCCGATGGACTGTGCGCACTGTCAGGAGATGCTGAACCGACATGAGTGGAAGTACGATATGCGCGTGTGTAAGAGGAGTGTATGTTGGGATTGTAAGGAGAGGTGCAAGTGGGAGTTGGAACAGGAGAAATCTGGTTCTGAAGAGACAGCTGGAAGAGCCGAGGGCAACAGGTATCGCGCGGACAGTGTGTTGCAGGATGAAGGACATGAAGAGGAGCATTTGATGCAGAAGGTTGGTATTGAGCAAGATCGGCCAATGAGCCCTATTGAGGCCTTGGGTGGTATTGAAGAGAGACTAAGCAAGTAAAAGGGTTGTGGCTTTGAATGAAAGCAGGAAGACTTCCGAAGAGACAGAAAGTGGAAGATTTCAACTTACATCGTGAGCCGTCGATCGGCTTTAGCAATGTCCAGGTATTGTGACACTATGCGTCAGACGTTTACCTCAGTCCAGATCCATAGCATCATCCATGTATTCAAAAGGCGTATCTTCAATCTCCATGCTTGTGTATCCGTACGACGTCTTGGGCTCGAAGTCTCGACTGGTCAAAGTACCATTCGTAGTACTGTCGGAATGCTGCTGCACTGCTTCATGAGCAAGGTCACATCCACCAATGATATTGCGCAACATATGCTCTAGCTGCAAGTCCTGCAACGAAATATTCGCACGCGCGTCGCCGCTGGCTATGTTTGCCTTGCTATCGGCATCTTTCCACGCATTACGGTATTCCTTCGCAATGCCTAGTTGTACCCGAACATCCTGTAGTCCCAGCGACCCCGCTAATGGACTCTTCTCGTCGTCTAAAGCTTCGAGAAGGTTTGCGTGGAAGGCGTGCGAAGCCATCGGTCGTGTTCGGTGCAGATCGGGATTGGTCTCGTAACGGAGGGCGTTGAAGTTTATGCGCGGCGCGGAGGCGGAGACGGAAACACCGAAGATGGCGAGACAGTCTGTAACGTAGCGTTCGAGGAGGGTATAGAATTCGAAGAAGTCGACTTTGAACATGGATTCGGCTTGTTTCTGCGCCGTGTCAGTGTCGCGACAGGTGGGGTAAGAAGACTGGTAGCCACCTACACTCGATGCGCCACTTCCCATTGCGTGCTGAGACTGGTGGTAGTCGTTCTCCTGTGCAGCGGCCTGTACGATCTCCATGGTGCGAAAGTAGGACACCATGAGCATCTCAGCCTTCCAACGGACGCGTCCTAGCAAACGCGTTACGCGATCTTTGTCCTGCTTGAGCTTCTCGGCTTTCGATTGGGCTAGACTTTCGGCAGGCGTCTTTGGTGCATACTTGGAAGTCTTCATGGTGTCCGTAGTATGTCTCGTCTGAGTTGAGGTGGTGTTTGAATCAAGCTATGGAAGCAGGCATTCGTCGGGCAGTCAACTACCCAGCAATCGATAAGCACCGCAGGAATGATGAGATTTGTCGTTACGAATACATCGAGCTTTCACGGCGCTTTCACTAAGCAAGTCAGGCATCGTAGACTTTCAATGTGGGCGCGGGCTGTTGCGGACGTTGTGGAAGATGGTTCTGCAGTATGAGCCATCTCATCCCAGAGTCATTTCGAAGACTCATCGCCGTACCGTGGATGTACATAGAGACGTACCAGCTCAGACTTAGTCGTCGGCAAATCACAGTCATCACATACCCAACCACCCAATGTACCTTCCAAAGTTATTGCAATCGGATCATCACGAGACGAGCGCGCAAACAAGAACGACGTTGTGGAAGCAAACCACTGTACATGGTTCGTGCCGAGGCTCGACGCTGACTCAGCTCACACTTGGATAGCCAAACACCTCCATCTGCGATCGCTTGGGGTAAAGGTACAACGCTGACATCCAGCAACTCCCAAGAGAGACGCAGTGTAACATCGCGTAGGATATGATGCATATACTCGCAGGTTCCGATAGGTGGGTGCGTCGCTGCCTGGAAACTATGCCAGCTGTGCCGCAGCCACGCATCTGGTTGATATGCAAGGGGTGAGTGAAGCTCACTTATATGCCGACCAAGCTCGATACCACTCACGATATCTGTCACTCTACAATGGTCCGCGCAACTAGAAAGCGAAAGGCTGTCGATTATGACGACTACTACGACACGTCATCAGACAGTTCCAGCATGTCTCGAGCGGGTTCCATTGAATCGACCCGTCAAGATAACAAAGGGAAGAAGAAGAGGCAGAAGAGAAAACGCGTAGCATGCGACGACTCAGACATCGAGGAAATACATCCTGCCTCCATTTTCAAGACGCCTCGAAACCCTCGAGCGACGTTCGAAGGCCTCCCAACTGAAATGCGCCTTCAGATCTACGATTACCTACGCGACTTGTTACACATCCACATACGCAGACGTGTAAAGACAAAGGGAAAAGCTTCATCGCAAGTCAGAAAGCCACCACCATTCGTCTGGTATCTCTGCCGCCAAACCAATCCGAACACGCGGTTGCTATGCGCGAATCCCGAGTGGTCAGGCATGTGCAAAGAAGAAGATCGTTGCAGCTACAAAGCCGACTCTCCAGTCGAGCCCCGAGGACCCTGGGCCCTCATAGCATCCAACAAGGCCATCCGCAATGAAGCCAAGGAGCTTTTCCTCCGTGACACCGTCTTGTCAGTCAATTCGCAGGACCTACATCCCTGGTTGAACCATCTGATCAGACATGCTCCGCAGCGCATGAATCATCTGCATCATATCACGCTTACCGGCCCGAACGAATGGGATAGCACGTATACGGGTCTTGTGCGATTGTTACAAGAATACGTACCGAATCTCGCAGGGCTTGGATTCCAGTTCTATACTCACGGCTGTTCTTCAATCGACATACATGGGGTATCTCAAAACTCAATCCGCATGGAGCAGGTTGAGTGCAGGAATTGGCTGGTTTCGAATATGATGTCTCAATTCGAATATCCTATCGCGTTTGCTCTGGAGGCCATCATATGGCATAAAACGGGTCCATCGAAACGTCTTGCTATCCGAATGATTTCGCAGGACAGCGAAGATGGCGAGGACGAAGCTGATGTATATGTTGACATCGATGATCCGGGGAAATGGGCGGAGACGAGCCGGCAGGCGGGGTGGCGAAAGTCTTGGTTGAAGGAGAACTACGAAAGGGCACTGAGCAGTGTGGTTTAGATTAGCAATTGGCGTGTTCGATATGAATTGGCACTGTACTTCAGAACAGGTTCTCCGTTACTCATTAAATAATGGTGATCTCTTCTCGCTCCAACTCCTCCAATCGGACAACGTCCGCAAATTCTGGGCCGTCGTGAAAGATTGTTCTATGTTCTCCCCACTGATGTGCAAAAATTCCGACTTTTCGAAACCGTCGCTGGGACAGACTGACAGGCTCCAATAAGATGCCGAGTAAGTACGCTGGTGTCATGGACCAATTGTTGGTACTATCAGGATAGTCGCGATATGCGTCACGAGATTGAAGCACAGCGAACCAGCAGCCAGCACATGATTCCCGGCCGTCATCGAACTTCTCCAACTCCGTATGGGAAGGAACTCTGTGGCCATTCCAGGATTGAAACACCGTCATTCTGTCTGAGGCTTCGCGTATGTGACATGAGATCCGAAGATATCCCGATGACACTCTGCCGAATCCGTCATTCTGAATATTCTCGATGTGTACTTCATGTACATGGGCGAGCGACCGTTCGGAGATCTCTCCTACCTCGGGTATGTTCCATATGAACATGACGCGTCCTTTCCGAGAAAGCCAAGACCACGAGGGTGCTGTTGCCAGGGATTAGGTATCGATGAAAGAAATGGTGACGAAGAAGTGACACTTACCTCGGTAGGCTCGTGGAATTGATTCCGAAAGGATGAAATCTTCGTGATCCGTGGACCAAAGCAAACTTCGGACGACGTCTTTGTACCATATACCAGCCAGATATCGATCTTGTAACTTGGTCTGGAACACTTTCGCTAACCCTGATATGGCGGGTAGTGCATCCTCATCGTATGTCAGCCGGCAAGTTGAGAATGACTCCGCAAGAGCCAACCATCTCAGATAGTAATCAACCCTTTCAGGGTCAGTATCTAAAGCATTAGATCTGAGAAGACTAGGCACTTTGAATGGCAACTCATAGCCCCAAACTTCTCCAGATCCGGTTCGCACTCTGCCTTCTGGATACACTTCGGTGGTGACCAATTCTGCGCATTCCCAGCCAATCAAATCGCTGAAGAATATGGATCTGGGGCTTAGAAGTCGTTCTTGAAAAACCTAGCCACGCGACATCAGGTCCGATTGGTTAATCTGATTTATCGCACAGGGTTCGTGTAGGATACGAGATAATATCTTTGTGCCCGCTTGGAAATTCACGTATAGTGGTGCCAGCGCGATCGGATCTAGCTTAGTGTACAGCCCTGAGCCAGGCCGATTGGAAGCGCCCGTTGCTCCGATATTCATAAACGCATTGGCGTATATCTCCCCCATAGAAGCTATCTCGCGGTCACAGTCCGCGGGATCATCCTGGATAAGGCAAAGTGCATCGATCCATAGGAAGGGTACAGTCATTCTTCGACACAGGTCGATAGCGTCCAAGAACACCGCTGGTAACGTATTGGTTTGGATTGCTTCAAGAAATTCGTGCAGATTCGAAGTCAGAAGCTTAGGCATATTTTCGCTCTGCCATCTGTGACTCAACGTGACGTACCTACGGTCCTTCTGGTCGAAAATCTTGGCTGTGGTTGCCAGGTACGGTAGACCGGTATTGGAGACATGAACGAGTCTGGTCGGAGTAAACGTGCCATTTTTGTGGAGTTTCTCCAGGTGACAAACGGTATGAGTTTCCTCACACTGTCGTATCCATTTAGTGATGGTGCGAAGATGCGCTTCGTCGCCAGTACAAGGTGTCAAGGCTGGCATGACGCGTACCGGATGCGGCTCATTTGGTATTGTTCCTTGGAGGATCAATGGCGTTCCATTGACGATCGTATACTCGGCGATTCGTAGCTCGAGTGCACCCCGACGGTTGACAGCAACACTTGACTTGCTGTCCGGTTGAAACATCAAGCGAAGCCGAGGAGAACTGGGCTGACCGTAACGTCGATTCGCATCACAATAGTAGTGGATATACGCAATGAAACTATCGTCTCCAGCAATTCTTTCCACACCGTCGCCCAATGCAAGGTAGCCGAGGAATCGACCACAGAGTTGACAGCTTTGCTTTGCAGCTTCGGAGATCCCATCGAAGGTGTAATCGGCGCGCCCAAATAGATTAAGATCCCCAAACACGCATAGCATGCAAAGACTTCTACACGTTGCACAGAACGTCGGGTTCAGACTCTTGACATCCCGTTT